ATGGGTTCCTGAGCCCTGGGTGCTGGTTCCTTATGCAAAACCTGCAGTAGGCCTGGGTTAGAAAAGCAGCACTGAGTGCCTCCCAGCTAAGCCTCTCCTTTCAGGACCTTCTGGCACAGGTGTGCCTCTCCTGACAGAAGCCTGGCACAGGTGTGCATCAGGCTTGGGCAGGAAGCTGGGGACAAGCCACTCTTCCTGACACCCTTGAGGTGTCCAGTTCCTTATGTGTATCTTATTCAATTCTCAAACAGCCATGAATGGATACTCCTCCCCACCTCATGGACTGTTTTTATTAGACTCACTGTCATAGTCACCGGAAAGTGGTTGTAATGTTGTTCACAGCACTTTACAGGGGCCTCATTTTATCCCAGGATATAAACATTTATAGTTCTCTCGCTGACATACAAAAGAATCTGACATATTTACTAGTTTTGATATTTATCTTTGGGATCATTATTCATATATGATGCAACCTGGACAGGGCAGAACTAAAGAACCAAGTCTGTCTGAAACCAAAAGCATACATCTTGGTAGTAGAGATGTTGCTCACTTGGCTCAGTTTTCTAGGAATGCAGACATGGGAGTTGCCATGGACCCATGGCGGCTTATGAGGAACTCTAGGCTCAATTAACTTGCCCTCAGCAACTGGCTTGTTTTGATCTTATCCATCCAAGAGCCTCTTCTGATTTGGAGTCACCTCGGAACCCCTGCACATGCTGCACCTGCTTAGGATTCTTCGCCCACCCTATTTTCTCACTCCCATGATCATTTTGTTATATGTTTTTTGGGGCTACCTTAAATCCTCCTGGGTCAGGTGAAATAGAAACCAATTAATGGTCAAACATCCAAACATCTAAAGAAGGATTCTAAGGAAAAAGAAAAGATAGAATGACATCATCCAGGACTAGAATACTAAGAGATGACTTTTCAGTAAAAATAAGACATACTTAAGAAGGAAACTATCAGCAGGGAGAGTCCTGGAGAAGACTTCAGGGGTGCGTGGGTGGCACCTGGAGAAATCCACACAGTGCAGAGAGGAGCCCTTCAAGGAGGCCAGACCTTAAAGGCACATTCAGATGCCCACATGACCGGGGGGAGGGCGGGGGGGGGGGGCGGTGCGGGGAGTTCCCCCTGGAGGACAGTGAGGGAAGGCATGAGCTGCCATTCACCCAGAGAAAAAGCAGTGAGAGAATGTGCGTTTAAGAATTAACTTTAAAGCAAGGCAGCGTGAGAAGGAGCAGCACTTACAGCTTTTGACTAGTGACAGAGGCCAGGGGTGGGCAAAGTGTCCTGTAAGGGCAAGAGGGTGAATATTTCTGGGTTTTCGAGCCATGTGGTGCCTGCTGCAGATACTCAACTCTGCCATGTGATGTAAAGCAGCTATGCACAATCCACACAGGGCTGGGCATGGGTACATTCCAATACAACTTTGATCTCATGTCATTTTCACATGCCACTAAATACTATTTTAATTTTTCAACTACTCATAAATATTAAAACCATCATCAACTCGTAAGTCGTACAGTGGGCTGGGTGGGATGTGGCCATGGGCTGACCCTCACTCAGGTGCTTGACTGCTTTAGTCAAGCCAGGCAGCCATCATTTCACATCTACCTCCTTCTCTAAGGAAGATCATCTTCAAACACCGACAGCAGAGCAACACCACGATGGGGGACTTGTAGAGTCAGAGAGGGGGACAGGTGGCTGGACAGACAGGCGCTGGAAGGGCTGGAGGGGCAGGAAAGTAGAAGCTGAGGACCTTGGGGGAAGCTGGGTGAATAGGGCTTCAGGGGACCAGATGTCAAGAAAAAGTTATGTTCTCAAAAAGGGACAAGGAGAAGACTATTGTCTGTGTCCTGAGGTGATTTCCAGTAAGATTCAAAAGCAAGGCAGCTTTTGAGCACTCAGAAAAAAAACCCAAAAAACAAACAAAACTACGTGGTCACTGAGGGCCAGCAGGGCTTACCAAAAACATGCCACATTGACCGGGGATCTGTTTTTCTTAATATAAAAGCAACACATGCTATTGTAGAAGAATGAGGACTGGCAAGGAAGCCAGGGAAGAAGGGCAGGTTGGAACGTTTGGGAGGGACCACTGTGAACACCCTGGTGTGGACCTCTGAGGACTTTTGACATATTTTTTAAATGAGACCACATTAAACATTCTTGTCTGCCAGCTGCTTTTTCCCATGTGACAATATTCATGCCCACCTTTCTATCACAATCATTCTTGGGATGGCTTGAAAGTTAAGCCATTGGCCAGATATTTTGTACTCTAACCATTTTCCCTTGTTTTGGGCATTTAAGACATATCCACCTCCCGCCCCTGCTTTGGGGTATTATTTTTAAAAAGCAACAGTACTCGTCCTTGTGGATAAATATTTTTGCACATCTGTAAGCATTTTCTGGAAGAGATTCCAATAAGAGGAAGCATGAGACTGAAAGTTTGCTACATGGCCATTTTGTTTGGGGTACAAGATGGCAGAGCAAGGGACATAAACTTCTCAGGATTTTAGCTTTTGCCCGAGAAAGTTCCTCACATCACTTCCGTGGGCTGAATTGTGGAGAAGAGATGATAAGTTTGGCTGGTGGAAAGCAGAGCACCTCCAAGTTGCTTGGGGGATAAGAACGTACAGGAGGACAGAGCCCAGCCTAATGAGGGCGATCTCAGACGTGGCTGGTGGGAAGAGGTGGCCCCAGATACTGGAGGTGTTCAAGTGGCAAGTCAGGGTGACCAGCTGCTCTGGGAGTCTTACAGGGTTGCTGTGCAAGGCAGATGCTGAGCTAAATGCCCCCTCCTTCATCATCAGGTCCTGAGACCTCTGTGCACAGGGTACCTCTCCAGTGTTGCCCCCACACCTCTGAGCTGGCTCTCCCTTTGCAGGTGCGGTGGGCATGAACTACCGGAGAGCAAGGTCCAGGAAAAGGGATCTGCTAACAGGCATGCCATTGAGCAACATTTAAAAGTAGTAACCATACCTACACATTAAACATGGGCTGCTTTTCATACTTGTAATTATGTTGTTTTGGAATCTACTGATCCTAGGAAGGAGCACAGACTAAAGGAGCAATAACCAGGTGTCCTCAGGAATGACTCAGACAACACCAGAGGTTTGCACCAAAGGCTCAGCGCCTGACAAACAAGGGCCAGGGTTGGCTGGGAAGGAGCATGGTTTGCTGACTCGTTTCATCAGCAGCAGAACTCCAGCTATGGAGGCATCAGCACTGGGCAGGGGCTGGGACCTGGGGCACACTTTGCCTTAACCGTTTTTGGAACAAACCATTGGAAACCCTCGCTTTACAATACCAAACTGAGATGCGATGCTTGGCACCAAATTCCATTCATGAGGGGGTGGCAGGGTGGTCTCTGCTCCCTTCCATCCAGAACGAGGCAGAGGCTCTAGCAGCTGGCGGGGGGTGGGCAGGCTTCCCAGTCGTGCCCCTGTTGCCCAGTGCTGAGCTTGCAGGCCTTATGGAGCCAGCGGGTTCTGTGGGGTATTTCTGGCAGCATCACAACAAAGTGGCTCTGGATGCTGGCAGAGCCATTTGGTGCCTGTAGCTACAGAGGGAGGCTGGGCTGCCTGCCACAGAGGCTGGAGCCTCAACTACCTCTGGAAGATAAAATCCCACTGAGCGCCACTTACAAAAATGGAACAGGAAGTTTCTGAATGGCTTCCCCTGTGTCCTGAGGTTGTTACCTTGGTATTGCTAAACTAGCAGCTGAAATGAACCCAGACAACACCTCATCAAGGCAGCGGGGCGAGGAAGCAGTGGGCCCGAGGCAGACAGCAACACTGCTGCCAGACCAGAGATTTCGCTCTGTGGGGCCTTTGCTGCAGAAATGCCAACAGCTGGGAAAGTCATCAGAGAGTGAGGGGACATGGGGTAGCCCAACACTACAGCTGGAGAGAGATTTGCAAGCTACAGAAGAAAAGTGGCTTGTGTGACGGAGCTGTCCCTGAGTGTATTCTGCCCAGGATTGCCTGGCTGGATTTCATGGGCCTGTTATTTGCCACTCTGCCACTAAGCATCTGGGGAAATATTCAGCTTTTCTACAAAATAGGTCATCTTTCCACACTTGTTATGTTCCCTGTAGAGACTTCTGAAATAGCCACAGCACAGAAGCAGCTCTCCCTAGAGATGTTTTTCTTAGACAAACTGTTCCCTGTTCCCTGGAGAGCCTGGCTCCTGGAGCGCAGCCAGCAACAGGGCGTCGGCACCTCCCCATCTTCCCCTTCCCAGCATGAGTGTTGCCCAGAAATGGAACAACTGGCTTTTGCTTGTACTTCCAAACCTATTAGGGAGTGATCATAACGAGAGAAACGAAAACCGACAAGAATTATGCCATTGTTCATTTCATCTGTTTAGTAACCTGAAGTTGCAATTTTTAGAAAAAAGATTACCTTTTAAATAACCGATTCATTATGGTACATGAATGAATGCCATGTTCCCCTGTTCAAAATGTCACTCACCATTAAGGGTGTGTGCTGGTAAGTGGCACCGATTTACCACTTCCCCCTCATAGACAAATACCTCTGCCTGGTGGCCTAGGATAATCAGAGAGGAGTGTGTGGGTCTCCTCAGCTCTTAGCAAGTCACCCACCCTGCCATGCACCTCACGAATCTCAATTCTGAAATAAGGCTGCTAAGTTCCCCCTCCCTGGTGAAGGTGAATGGGGAAACCAGGACTGATGAAGTTCCTGCCAAGGTAACACTATCAATTTCAAGACTAAGTTCAGAAATTACAGACTCAACTCTGGACGTGTGAGGGGGAGACGGCCTGTGTACCCTCTGGCCACAAGCTGGCAGTGAGAAATGAGAGGTGAGCAGATTCAGATCTGGGTGGGCGAGTCGGCCGGGCTCCGAGCCCCTGTGGGAGACCTGCCCAGGTCTGGCAGGTGAATGATGTGGTGAGAATTCTCAGGGAACCTCCCTTCAAGCCTGTGAAACCCACACCATGTTTTTCATCATTAGTTTCAAAACATACTGAGTATTTGGCTTTTCTCTAAGTACTGTGGTAACACAAAGGAAAGAGAAGGTGGCCCCTGCAGGGATGGGACCAGGCCTCTTGCAGAGAACAAGAGAGGTGAGATAGATGAGGTGGCTGGAAGACAGCACGGAGGAGGTGATGCCAGAACACAGGCCCCGCAGCCAGCTTGCAGCAGTGGCTTCACATACCTGATATGGCATACAAATTGGAGTGCTGGTACTCATAGTCTGTCCGGGTGCTGTTCCTGCCTCGGAAGGTGGCGGGCAGTGTTAGAGAGATGTGCCTGAGAAAGAGGAGAGAAAGGCAGTTACAAGGAGCTTGGAAGCATCTCCCGAGACTCAGGTGGCACCTGATGCTGTCAATAGCCAAGCCACAGCACAGAGCAGGGAGGGTGCCCCTTCCCACCCTCCATCTTCCCTCCCCCAGTCTCAGCCCTCCTGAGGAATCCAGAGGCCTGTGGCGACATGGCCACCTTCTCCCATACCGGGGAGGAGATCCAGGAGGAAAGGGTTTCCCAGTTTTATGGCGCATCCCAGGTGCTCCATGGAGGTGGCAATCTGGCCCAGTCCTCTGCGCACTGAGTGAAATGTGCCAGTGGGACCAAAATGCCCAGCTCTCAACAGAAGCCTTCTAGTAATTTCCACACCTGTCTGCAGGGCTGCCAAGGACCACAGCACAACACCCCCTTGGAATAGAGGTGTCAGGTTTTATTACCAGGTGAGCCCAGGACAATCAGCCCAGGTAAGTCATGACTGTACTGCTGAACTGCTGTGGTCTGTCCTCCTCGGGCAGAGCACACAGCAGGTGCTCAGGAATGCACCTTCGATTTGGCTGTCTTTTGCAGCTGGGGCGTTATCCATAAAAGCTCACTACAAGCACAACACATACTGGGATATACTCAACAGTGAGCAGCCCCTCAACACGCACATCAGCTGCTTCTAACCACTGCTGAAAAGGAAGATTATGATAACAGGAAAAATGCTAAAAACCCAGCAGGTCTGGGGAAAGAAATACCACCATCAAAACTGCTTGGAGGGGTGGCTGGGGGTTGGTTTGAAATGGCTCAGTAGCCTATGCTTGGGCCATACCCAGTCATTTCCAAAAGGGAAGAGAGAGGAAGGAGAGTTTATTGCACACAAAAAGCTGCCAGCCACACGGTGCCTTTTTTACACAATGCATGTATGAACTTCTAGGACTTCTGGGAGGAGGGGCCTTCACGCAGAGCTGCCCCCAGAGGGCAGGGGCCTCGAAGAGCCAAGGTGAGCAGGTTAGCCTTTATCAGTGGGGACACCTGTGCCACAGACCCACAGGCTGAACCATTTGGAGCTCTAGTGAGCATGGACACCAGACTCATGCTGGGGGTCATACACGCATGCAAAGACAGGTAAAGCCAGGCGTTGACTGTGTCCCCCAGGGTGTGGCTTGTGCATGGGTGAGGATGCTACCTGGGCATTACTGATACCAGTGCTGACGAGGAAGACAGGGGAGCACCCTTAGGAGCTCACAGGCTGCAGGGCTAAAGGTGTGTGTGTGGGGATAAACTGCTGTGTAAGATGACAGGTGCTAGGAGAACTGGGTACCAGTGAGCACAGGAGGAGGGGACAGCATGTCCCACAGGGGAGAGGAGAACTCCTGACACTTCTGGGTGATAAGGGGGTGGAAGAATCTGACCAGGAAGTCAGGGGAAGCCAAAGTTATGTTGTGGGACTAGGGCACAGGTAGGAAACAAATTAGAAAGGGGCCAGGGGCCAGATTGGAACAGACACCAATTGCCACAGCAACATGCTTTGGGGTTTGTCCCCGGGGATGGAGGTTCCCTGGCTCTGTTGCACTCATCATGGCAGAGATGAACTAGCCACAGGATGCACGGGCCTGGCCCCGGGAAGCCCACTTCAGTGGCCTGCTGGGGTACAGCCCGGGAATCTGCTTCTAACAAGCTCTGGTGGGGATCTAAAGACTGGCCAGGGCTGGGAACCCTGAGAGGTCAGGGGCTTCTGTGAAGGTCTTCAGCAGTCAATCACTGCCTCTGACCACAGTGCAAGTCAATGAAGCGCGCAAACAGAAGGATGAATTATTGTCCGCGGTTGTAGCTGAACAGAACCGGAATGATGACAGGTGACCCTACAGAGTGTCGCCAGGTGGCAGGCCCTGGGACACGTGGATGGCAGGTAGTGTCCTATGGCTCCTCACAAAGTCCCTGTGTGGGGTGGGTGCACCATGAGCAGACCTGTGCAGAATGAGAACACGGGTGCTTGCTAGGCTGCTGTGAAGAATTTCATGGTGGCAACAGCAGCGCACAAAATCAGCATGGGGTCCTTCTGCATGACTGCAGATGGCACACCTGTGACACTGCCCTGGGGTAGGCACTGTCTTTGTCCCCACTGTACCAACGAGGGAATTTCCAGCAGTTTTGTGCTTTAGGGCTGCCAGACTCTAGGATTTCTAAGCCTTACAAGTCCTGAAAGGTGCACCTGGCCTCTCCAAAAACCTGAAGCTGTCTGTGGGGTGTGGTGGCCATTCCTGACCCAGAGGCATCAGGATGGCTCAGGACAAGGGCCATCTTCGCAGATGAGCGGAAGTGGATGATAACAAAGAGATAGAAACAGGGCCACCGGGATCAAATATACATCACCATAAATCTGTGGGGGTTCGGTGGCAGCACAGGCAGGGGACATGAAGATGTCCACAAACTCATGAGAACACCTGCTTCCAAGGTGATCTCATCTGGAAGCAGGAAGACAACAGTGCTGTGAGAAGCAGGACAGGTGAGGGCTCTAGGGAGTTTTCCCTTGGACATGGGCCAAGGAGGGGACTGAGGACCAGCGGGAGGACTGAGGAAGAGGAGGCTGGGAGCTCAGCTTCTGCAAGACACATGACCAGTGGGAAGATCTAAAAGGAGGCTAGTGTGAACCATGGGGTGCACAGTGCTCGGGGCCCAGCAGGAGTTCCCACTCACCCCGAGAGATTTTTAGGCAGAAACATGACAAGATCTAATGACAATTTTAAAAGCCATGTCTGTGGAACATAAGGACATAAAGCTGAGATGCTGAAGTGTATGGGAATGATAGCACATTGTGATGGAGACTGCCACAAAACTATACCCAATTACTCAGCACCTGTTATACAGACCATTAATTTCTGTCTAAATGACCTGCCACAGTCCCCCCTAGATGGGACAGCTTTGGGGAAATTCTGTGGCACACAGGACTTAAAAAAGAGGTGTGCACTCAAGAGAAATCAAGTGGCCTGGCTCTGTAGATGCCCCACCCAATCAGGACTTCCAATTCAGCCTGGATGACCACAGCCTGCACTCCCCCCGACCTCAACCTATTTCCCTTCCTTCTTTGAAGATGTCTTTTTCTGGACCCCTCCATTCCCTTCCTCCCTTCCAAATGGGCCTGGAGCTCTCTTCTCACAGCACACACTGCCTCGGCAGCCTCATCCACAGCCACATCCCCGTTCAGTCAGTTCCCCCACCACGCAGCAGCCCGCCTCTTCTAACTCAGCCTCTTCTCACTACTGCTTCTTCCACTAGGCAGAATAAAAGTCTTAGAACTCCGAATAGACCTTGTTCTTTCATATCTCATCCCAGTTCTTTATCCGTGCTGCTCCCTGCCCATGGAGTCTCCATTCTTACACACTCTCCAAACTCCCATTCATCCTTCAAGACTCCACTCAGCTATCCTCTATTCTCTCTTTGGTAGAACAGCTAGATTGGGGCCTGTGTGTCCTCTCTCATGACTGTGACCTTCTCAACAGCAGGGCCAAATCTCCTGGATTCATACCCCATTTTCTAGGACAATTTCTGTCATGGAGTAGACAATTACTCAACATTTGCTGATCAAGGGTTAAACTTAGTTCACTGAAACCAGGGGTCTTTCTGTGGCATGAGCTGCTGTTGGCACCGTGATTTCATTTTTCTGTGTTGTGTTTTCCCAGTTGGACACATTCTCTTCGAGAGGGAAGAGGTGTGGTGGACAGAGAAACAGGAGGCAGCTGCACCCAGGAATTCAAAAGGGGAGAAAAGAAAGTTTCTGTCTGCACAATGCAGGGTTGGTGTGGGGAATGTGACAGTGAGAGAATTAAAGTCCCAGGCCTGACTGCAGGAGGGTTGCTCGACTGAAATCTGCTGACTTGAAACCAAATTACTTCAAACTCTAGCTGGAGAGTAGAGCCAGGAGTAGAGGCTGGCACAGAAGTAGAGGCCAGCACAGGAGCAGAGGCATGCATTGGAGTGGGGCCGAGACAGGGCTCAAGAACAGCAGAGGAACCCTGGCCTGAGACAGTGTGGGGAAGTTTCTTCCCATTTTCCAAATCCCTTCTTTTCTTCTCTTCTCCTACTCTCCTCTCCCCTCCCCTCCCCTTCCCTTCCTTCCTCTCCTTCTTTCCCATATTTTGTTCCCACTCTTCTTGAGAGAGGAAGCAGGGACATGTGGACAGGAGGCTGAAGAGGCCCATCAAGACTCCTGTTTATGAGAACAGCTTGGGCCAAAGGCCAAACCACCAGTGCTGAGCACAACAGAGAGGTTGTCTGCTGCAGGAGGAGCCACCCAGGGCCACCTTGGTATGAGGTTGGCCGAAAGTGACAGGTGAGGACTCAGCAATGCTGCAGTCACCTGTGTCCAGCGTGAAATGAGCCTCTGCATCTCCCCTGTCAGGTGTGGCCTGTGTTGCCTACAGACATCACCTGGGCTGATCCTCCTGACAATCTTTAGATAGGAAGGGGAGACCGAGGCTCACAGAGGCAAAGTCAGTGAAGAGAAGTCGTTCAAGTACCCTTTGCAATTACCCTGATGTATTGTCTTGACTCATCATCTCTGCCGCTCACTGGCTGGTAGCCCCAGAAGGTTACTGTGCACCATACACAGCTGAGGACCAAACGCCCAGCATGCCCAGTGTGGTATAGCAGATGCTGCAGTTAAGAACACTGACCCCCAGAATCTGTCAGATGTGAGTTCTAATCCAGAGCCAGCACCTGGGAGATGGGAGGCCTTCAGCAGGGATGGGCTGATTTTCAGTGCACACTGGCCACAGTACAGGCAGAGCAGGTGGCCCACACCAGGCGTGTGGTAAGCTCATGGAAGCAAATTAATGTCATTCTTATTTTGATTCTTCCCATTTCCAACATCCTGGCATTATGCTGGAGTCCTGCTCAGGAGGCCCTGAGTCATTACAAAACCCACTGGACTTCCTTCTACATTAGAATGAAATAGAAACCATCCCATGGGTGCAAGGTCCAGTAGTTTGGCCCATCCCTTCCCTCTGAAGGCATGTTGCCCACGT